TCATATATTTTCCCTAAAAAAAAAAGTGTTAAGTCATAGCATTCATTGTTTTTATGGTTGTAGGAAGTAAGCAGCAAGCCAGCATTTAAAGACAGATATAAGAGTTTTTTACCAAACAAAAGAAAACATTTAGGTCAGGTTTGATTACTGTGAATAGACCTTATGTGCTGCAGCGGATTGAAAATGAGCTAAGTGATAATTGTGCTTTTCTTTGGGTTTCTTGTGTAACATCGTGTATGAAAGACCTAAGGAAAAGTATTCTGACTACCATTTCATTAGGTCATCGATGCAGATTAGTCCTTTAATTGCTGGTATATTCAGTTGAATTAAAGTGAATGTGCTCCCCAAATTGTTGTATCTTTTCAAATGCATTCCAGTCTTTATCTCAAACAGCTTTTTTCAATCCCTTCACTTCTTATTCTTGCAATCTTTGTGAAACGAAAAAAACCTCCTGGCAAACAAAAGAATCTCTTACAGAAAATAAGAACTAGGACGGCCTTGTCCTGCCAGATTTGTTATACTTTTACTGTTCTGCAAATATCTTAGCAATGTTATTTTGTTGTAGCACTAACGATAAGCCATGCTGGCTGCCGACTGAAGAGATTCCATGCTGCTCTACTTCTCTGTTTTCACTTTGTGTCTTCCCTTAATGTCATCTCTACAGACACTAAAAAAACTTCCTGTTTTAATCAATATTTCTACAGTACACTGCAATTAATTTGTTCCTCATCAATCTGAGCTAGATACCGCATCCTCCTGTGTAAAGTGGTGCATAGGATTCACAGGTCCAGGAGTAGGTCGGTCTGGCTCTTCCCTGGTACTGACTATTTGCAAGATGTAATCTAGGTCGAGCTAGTCTCACATGTCTCTGTTTTCCCCTTCCTTATCCACATATTGGGGCTCAGCGTTTTGAATTACTCTCAGTCTCCGCTGAATCCTCTGCTTGGGACCCTCCCTGACATACACACTTTGGCATCCCACATAGCCAATTGTATAGCTGTCCTTACATGGCTAGCCAGAAGAGCCATTTGTAATTTGTTAGAAACATCCTCATGCACCCTTCCATTCCCAATGGATGAGATATGCCCTCTCCTTTATACAACTGGAAAAAATGAAACATTCCCTGAGAGGCTCTGACAGTACATCCTCTAAAATCTGAAGGCCTTTGATCAATGAATCTCACATAAATTAAAAAGAAAACAGCAATAAAACCTTGATTTATGCATTTCTAATAAAACTAGGCACACTATTATAATGCTGCACACTTGCTAACAACTTAAAATACCTTGAGGTCGATAACTTTCTGTTAACTAGTCTTGAAATGAAATGATGAAGGCAGGTCATGCTATGATTTTCAAAGATCATATCTAATGTCTCTAACATAGCAGACATATTGACTTCAGTGGCCTTAATGTGGATCAATCCATCTATCCAGCTGTCAATGGGTGAGAGGCAGGGTACACCCTGGACAGCACGCCAGTCAATTGCAGGGCAACACAGAAACAAACAGGACAAACAACCATTCACGCACACACTCACACATAAGGAGAAGCCAATTAACCTAACAGTCATGTTTTTGGACTGTGGGAGGAAGCCGGAGTACCTGGCGAGAAACCCACGCATGCACAGGGAGAACATGCAAACTCCATGCAGAAAGACCCCGGGCCAGGAATTGAACCCGGAACAGTCTTGCTGCAAGGCAAGAAGTGGAGCCCTTTTCTAAAGTTGAATCTATTGAACTTGACAAAAATAAGAATGATGTCAGATTTACATTTCCTGTAATCTAGGCTTGCTTTAAAAATGGAGAGAAAAAAACAACACAACAATTTTTTTTTTTTTTGATGTAGAGTACCAAGATTTGTTAAAAAAGAGCCTCGCAGAGAAAAACAGAGGCCTGAGGCTTTGGCTTCTCAGTCAGCGACACTTAATAAGAGAGTCTGGCAGCGGGATGCAGCGGAGCAGCGCTGGGAGATGAGACCAGAGTTTCCATTATGTGGTAGTGGGAAGCTGGGAGTCTCTTCCTACCACTAGCCTCCGCTGCTGGTGTTAGGTTGCCTCCAATGGGGGGAGAGGGACCAGCGAAGAGGGAGGGGGTGGTTAAGGGGAAATATGATGTGGTCATAAGGGAAAAAAAGAAAATAAGGACAGGGAGAAAGAAAAGAATAGCGCAACAGAAAGGAAGTAATAGGAGACCAGACAAGCCGTTCCACCACACTCATTATCATGATCATCATCATCATCATCATCGTCGTCGTCATAATCTGCTGTTACCAAGCAACCCTACGCTCCTGTTTTCTAGTGCCAGTTTGCTAGTGGCCAGCAGTTTAACCCTGAAACACGGTCGCCATCAGGCAGTGAGTCAAACAACAAGAGGTTGTTTTAAGAGGGTGGGATATGAAGACTCCCTCGCACAGTGACGGGTCTTTGAGGGAAGGTGCCCTGGGCAAGCACTTTCCTCTGCCGCCTCCCACACCCACGACTATTAACACCTCCCCACTGACCGCAAGAGAAGACTTGTTCAAACACAACTAACAAAGTTATCTTTTATATACATACTGCCGGTTCATCCCTCCATTTCAATACCACCCTGGTCAATTGGCCGTATCATAAGACCCCATATCAACGACTGTCACTCACACTGCATGCACAATTCAAAGTAAGCAAATATGTAAAGTATCATATTATGTTGTTTTGTTCCCAAAAAGTCTGAGTCAATAGTTCTAAGTTGCCAATAATTATTTTTTTTTCCATTTTCCCAGTAATTTGCTCAAAGTTTAAACAAAAATTTTGCTCAAATCTCAGGTCAACAAATCAGCATAAAGCACAAATACTTTTGAAATTTAGATTAACAACTATCCGTTGGGTCTGTCTTCTGCTGCAACAAAAACTTTGAAGAAATGTACAGAGATAACAGAATACCAACAAAATGGATTACCACTGAAGAATTCAATAAAGTAATTTTTTTTTTCAGGAAAGACACAAAATAAAAAATTACAGGTAATTCTGCTTTGTTGTGCGTTTGGGTCGATGACATCATCGGAAGCACACATATCAGGCTGAACATCTGGCAATGGTAAGAACTCTGGCAGGCAAATTACTTTTCACAAGTTACAACATAGATTCTGTAGCATTAGAGACACATTAACATCTTCCCTAGTTCTCTTCATAAACTGCCCATGCAGTAAACACCTCTGAAGGAGGAACTGGATCAAAAACATGCAAACTAGCCAAGAAAAAAAAAAAAAACAACAACTAAACAAAACAAGAAAATACAAAAAGGTTTGTATAAAATGACTTTGTTCAGCTGCTCTTGACAGATATTCAGACTCCAGTTTAGATAAGACTTACAAACTCATGGACCTTGGATATTATTTGGGATTCTAAAGTTTTAAATCTTGATTCAGACTTGAGCTTGAGACTGAAGCTTCATGAAGTTTATCTCATCTAATTAAGGCAAAAAGCTAAATGTACCTCATTTGAGTGAATTATGATGTTGTCCCCTTTAAGTTGTTTATAAGTCACTAGATGTGATTGTGACACCATCCTCACACACACACACACGCTTATATGGGTTCTCTTTATTATTTTCCTAATATTAGGATTAGTTTTTAGGCTCTAAGTTTGCATGTTTTTATTTAATACTATTATCGATCAATATTTACTCTAAAGCAAGTTGTGCATGGTTGGACAGTTTTTTTGCTTGCTCCAGTATATAAATCCTTTTCATTTTCTAACCTTGGAAAAATACAGATCATAAACCTCTAACACTAGATACTGTATTATATAGTTCATGAATGCTTTCTCATGTTAAATGGGTTAATAAATATACATTTCTAAAGAATAAATTTCTTACGTTTTCTTTATCTTCAAAATTATATTGACTTTTTGATTACTCATCTTAATTGTTCTGACAACAACAAACAATATAGGTAGTTAAATTCTATATTCTAAATTAAAGTCAAGTATTTATACATATCATAGCATCTATTCAATGTGAAAAATATCATTTTTAGGTCCCTGTTTTATCTGTGCATTGAAAGTGTTTTTTAGTAGAGTATATTTTGCTTTTCTGGATTTAAAAAAATATATATATTACAGTATATGTTTTATTGGTGTCAAGCTATCTAAAGTGAGTATGATTTTGCAAAGAAAGTCTGCCCAGGTTCCCCATTTTGTGTCATGCATAAAGCGCAGGCTCCAGATGCAAAGCGATCCCGGCAGGACTACATGCGCACAGTGGGAATCCAGCTGTATAGACGTGGTAAGTAATGGATGGGAACCAGTTTAGCACCTTGGCAACATGCCCAACGTGCTTTACTGTGGCATAATGCACAGATGTGCCATTAAGTCAAACAGCACTTTGTTTTCCTCAGTGAAGCTCCCTTCCATTTCTAATGGAGCTCCGCCAGAGTGTGTTCTGAATTTACTCAGTTAATTCTTCCCTGATTACTGATAAAGCAGTGGCTAAAAAGAAGAGGGTGAAGCGGATGAGGGAGGGAGGGAGGATGTAAGCCCCCTTTGCTGGCAGCCCCCACTGTGCCCTTCCCTTCTTTCACTTTTCCAAAAGTAACACACAAAGGCTACTTGTCCTGGTGCTGCCTGTGCCCCACCCCTGTCCCCAGCCGGTGGCTCGCCCTGCCAGTCTGGCCCCTGCCAAGAAACTGAACACACGCATGTTTAAAATGTTGCCCTCTGTGCGGCCCTGAGGAGCCGGCACCCACATGGCACTAACAGATGTGGAACACCCCCCCCCCCCCCCCCCCCCGATCACCCGCTTTTCTTTTTCTTCTCTTCTGCTGAGACTCTGATGGACTGCAGGTCAAAAATCTAAACAGGCCAGGTGCAGAGGTTTGACCAGTAAGTTATCGATAACACCAGCCCACTCAGACATTTCTGACCTCTTCTTATTCATGACACCCACCCACTTCCCCTCCCACCTCCCCGAGCATGCCAGACTTTATTAGACACCGAGAAAAGAAAACAGAAAACATGCCGCTTGCCTGGAAAATGTTGCCTCCACATTCTTTAAAGCTCAAAGCCGGAGCATTGCAAAAAAAAAAAAAAAAAAAGAAGAAGAAAGTTGATTGGGGGGAGGGGGGTTGATTTTCAAAGGAAAAAAATAAAAAAAGGAAGATCCTATATAAAAATCCAAAAAGGGTAGCCCTCCCTCCTTCTCGTGCAATGCCTTAACCCCCCCCCCCCCCCCCCCCCCCCCACCGCCCCCCTCCCTCCTCTCGTAGAGTCACTCCTCTCGGTCTGGCCTCGTCAGTAAAGGGAAGGGGCTCCTGCACTGCGAGTTCACACTAAGCCTCCAGGCTGCATCATCTTTTAGTCCATGCTTTTCATGGCTGGGAGAAGAAAAAGAAAAAAAGCAGCGTCCACCCCTTGGCTGCGTCTCTGTTCACACACACCAGGAGGATGGTGCTGGTGGATCGGTCGCAGGAGGAAAAGCTTTTGTCCTTTATAATCTCCCGAAGAAGAGGAAAGCCGCGGTCAGGAAAGGACGCTAACTGGAGAGTCTCTGTGCTGCTTCCTCTGCTGTCAGCTGTGCCACGAACAGTCACTGTGCATCCTCTTGGTTTTGTTTGTTCCAGAGGGAAAGATAAATAAATAAATCAAAGCGAAGGAAGAAAAAAGAAATCTGTAAATCAGAAATGCCAGCTTGAACATGCGGAGCCGTGCTCTGTGGGCTTGCAGGCTGCGATCACTTCATAGGATCCGCACCAGCACAAACCCTCCTCCCTCTTTCTCCCCCCTCCTCCTCCTCCCCTGCCGCCTGCTTCTTCTCCCAGTTTTTTTTTTTTTCCTCAATTTTTTTTTCTTATTTCTGATCTGGACTCCTCTGTGTTTTGAGAACGCCTGCCCCAGTTTTTTCCACCACACTAACCCTGCCTCGATTCCCTCTTTTTCTTCCCAATCATTTTGCTCCCTGCTAACATCTCACTTCCCTTAAGATCCAGGCCCCCCCATCTTCATCTTTTCAGCATTGCTGTACATCTATATGTCAGAACTTCATTGTGGTTCAAACTTAGATTTCCATTATTCAACATCTTTTTAGAACTTACTGTGAATTAAACAGCTGATATGTCCACATGGATTAACGGCCGGTCAAATGAACTGATGGATGGATGAAGGAATAGATGAGGCAGGTGATGAGGCGGAAAAGTCTGTAAAATACGTCAATCCACCGCCGAAATTTTGATTTCAGAAGAGGGGAGACGCAAGTATTTTTTAATATAACTAACTTCCATATGTTTGCCCTTCTAATCACAGACCAGATACAGTGGCACATGTGGGCGGTCTAAACTCTGGGAGGCGGGCTTCAGCTTGTCCTTGTGCACGAATATCTGTGTACTGTAGTGTAACATTGTTGCTGGACAGTAAAACTTACAGGAGGCGAAAACAGACTTTTGAAAAAGTGCAGGGGACATGTCCCCCCCGTCCCCCCCAACTTTACGTCCATGCATCAATCACATTTCATGTTTTTTAAGACAGTTTCTTGTATGATCCATGTCTTTTTTTTTGCTTTATATTACGATTTAAATGTACATACACATTTAAAGGAAGTCATCAGAGGAAAAAGTGACAAGCTCACAGTTTGCTCCCAGGAGGCAGGAAGCTGACAAAACATTGAGCCGAATGGCCGGCAGGAGGAGCGGCTTGGTTGGAAAAACAAAGCAAGCGGAGCCTCCCTGCCACTCTCCAGCAAGTTCGGGGCAAAGCAAAAAAAAAAAGAAAAAACTCCCCGCATCGGCTGCATGACAAGCGCGACCAATGTACGAAAAGTCTGGCGTCAGAAGCAATTATTAGTGACAGAAAAGTGAACAGGTAGAACCACCCTGGCACAGTGTGTCCACAGGATGGCTGGATGTGTCCATCCTGGTGAAAACCGTCACCTGCATGAAATAATGTCATATAATCCCTTTATTTATATGTGTGTGTGTGTGTCTGATCTTAGCAGCACTAACCAAACAAGCTGAGACCTGGCGTGTCACTCCAGAAAACCGTCTGCAGAAACGACACATCTGAGGAGCGTGACCATCAAAGCCTGCAACTTCCTGCCAGCCAGCAGGACCAACACACACACACACACACACGCACGCATGCATACACCCTTGATGGAGTGTGGGGATATGGCTGGCCCTCTGATCTTTCTGTCTTCAATAACATGAGAGAAAGAGCAGCGGAGGGGATGATGATGGGGGGGGGTGACTGACAGAGATATGTTAATATGGAACATGATAGAGATGGATCACATCCCAACAGACACTATATCACTCTGGGAGGTTGGGAATACATCAGGAATAAAAGGAGAGGTAAGAGAGGATGGAGTAAAGGAGTGCTGGGAGTAGGCCCTTCTGATTAAGAGTTATTTTATTTAATAACAAATTAGCCATAGCTAAAATCAACCTTTATATGCAGCAGCTTAACATCCAATGAGTAAAATTTTACTTCTACATTAAATAAATACAGGATAAAGTTTCGCAGGCTGGGAAATGACAGTCCCTATCTAATCCCTTACTACTTTTTACAACCTGTTCTGTCATTTGACAACACTGGAGCACTGAGAAGGATCTTTGACCATACTATATCTGAGTCTTACATCCTTGCTTGTTCACTCTTCTCATCATCTCATCTCATGGGTTTTCTGTAGGATTTAAGGAGGGCATAAACTGTATAACTTGCCATTTTCGAGCAGATTCTTCAGTCGTTTTTAAGAGTTTTTAAGCCTCACTGTGCATCCTGAGTTGAGTAGTTTACAGGGGGTAATGAGGGGTGTTCAGCCTCTCACCTCCCAAAACATATCAAACATGTTTGAAATTCAATCGGCCCTCATAAAGGGTTCATGAGCAAATCCTGCTGTTGAAGCAGAGCTACGAGCTGATTTACCAGAACCTCGTGCATTGTGCATATGCGAACAAGGAATTCTTCTTCTTCTTCCAGATTGAAGAGTTTGACCAGCGCCATGTCTCGGCGCTCAGTCCGACAAGTGGTTTTTGGACGTGCAGTGTGAGCAGGTAGAATGAATCAGAGCATCAGGCCACACAGCGTAAGAACCAGTAGAGTGATCAGGGAACTTTTAAAACCTGCAGTCTCTTTGTACAGTTTGAGCTGTAGCTGCGTGCCAAGATTGAAAATATTGTACAAAGCGTGCCCGGCTTTAGGTTTAAGCACTAAAATGGCTGCGGAAGAAAACTCTGATTCTGTGAAATATTTCTACTTATCTTCCATCACTTTCCTTCTGAAATAATTTTCATTAAAACAGGGGAGTGGTGGCCTAGTGGTTGGGGGATTGCGCTTTGAATCCAGAGGTTTTGAGTTCGAGCCCCGCTCCCACGGACTGATCAAGACCCTCAACCCCAAACTTTTTCCCGGGAGCTGTGCAAAGGCAGCCCACTAAATGCAGAGAGTTAATTTCATTGGCCTGTACGTGTGACAGTGTAATAACATAAAATCTGGAAAAATAAAAAAATTAGGATTGTTTTGTCTTCAGAGGACAAGGAGCTAAAGATAGAGAGGCAAAAAAAACAAACAAAAAAAAACAGCTTTTTGGGACACAAAAGAAAAATCAAACAGAAGGAGAACGATGTCTTTGAGATGAAAATCGATTAAAAGATAAAAGACAGTACTTGACAGTTATATCAGTGTGTTTTAAGCTTAGCTGTAAATATTAGCTAAAGTGCTTTGATTTCCAAAACTTGTTCAAATTTGTTAGTACGTATTTTGCTGTTCATTTGTTAATCTTTTTTTTTTATTTAGCTAGAATCACAGAAGAGATACATTAATAAATAGGAGTAATGCAATTGATTTAAATGCATTGAATGTAATACTACTGTGTTGTTGTGATGCATCTGAAGCAGCAGACACAGCATGCAGTAACTAATATACAGCTGAGTATCAGCTGATGTGTGCATATGCTCACCGATTCATTAATGCATTCAGCAGTCATGCCTTGAGATATTATATGTAGCATGCTTTCCCGTTACCTCCATACTATCCATTGTTAAGATGTTTTATTTGATTTGTTAATAAATATCTATTGTGATTTATATTGAAGATCATTTTTATTATGTTAATGGGGGAAGAAAAAGCAATATCAGCCTAAAGAATCGTCAAAAAAAGAATTCGCAGCACAAATGTTGGATCAGTAGACTGATCTCAATATAATCTGTATAGGAATCAGGATAAAAAAAAAAAAACATAAAGCGATTCATATCTTGTCCTTAACTTGGGTAAAGAAAAATGTTATACTGCTTTGATCGATAAAGCCTAAAACAGAAACCACAAAGGACAAATCAAAATCAAATAAATTTCAGAACCATGAGTAATGATCATTTAGGTCATTTATATATCAGTTTATTATTTTTCTATTAACCAATTAATAATTAGATAACAAAAAGTGATAAAAAGGGAATTTTTACAGAATTTAAAAAAAGTAAAGCTAAAAATAAACAATTTGAGGAGCTTTGGAGGTTTTTTATTTTAAGCAAAATGCATATATCGCTTGTACAGATTTATTACTGTTCTGAGTGGGTTGTTCTTTCAGCAAAAAACATATTTTGAGACTGTAAACTCCAGTTAATGGATATTTAATCACTTAATTAGTTCATAATCCCAGTTAATCGGAAGAATTGTTTTTGTATAAACCGCTCTTCTTCTGACGCCTCCCAATTACCATAAATTCAGGGAATCATCTATAACTTGTCGAAGGTACAACTGACAGATGAGTTACATTTGTTATCAACCTCTCCCTTTCAATGACGCTCTGGGCAACAGCCCATACAGCCAAAAACAAAAACTGCCATCGCATATCGACATGACTAGCTAAACTTGTTAGATAATGGACTGAACTCATTTTCCATGTTTCTCTAAAATAAGTGCATGTTATCCTTACATGGTTATAAGGAATCTAAATTATCAGCAGGATCAGACCACAATCTGATTAAACAAAGAGGAGATTTTACCCAGTTTCCAATCTGATCGGCATGCAACTAAACGCTTGTCAAGATCACGTTATTCTGAATGAGACAGGCTGACCTCAGTGCGCATGTGCACCCTGCATCAATATTACGTATTGCTTTAAATGACAAGTTAATGTTAGATTATTTTA